CAACGCGACTGGATCCCCCCTCCCCTCTTTCCCCCACCCCACCAAAGCCTCTCTCTTTTTCTTTCTCCCTATAAGCGATTGGAGCTTAGTCCACCAGACTGAACATCAAACGACAACCAAGGGCGGAAAAATGCATTTTTAAAAAGCTGGAAGTAGAGCGGGTGCTGGGAATCTGACCACCCTCCCACAACCCCCCCCCACTTTAGAAATCTTGAAGGGAGTCCTCAGTTCGAGCTTCGCTAGCACAGTGAGATCCGTTCTGATGGGAGAAGGCAGAATGGCTGCATTTTTTTTCGTTTTTCTTTTTTTTGATCAATGAGTTTAAAAGTGCACCTCTGTTTTTGCTGAATTTTTTTTCCCCTTAAATACGAAGTGGTTTTTCTCCTCTTCTTCCCTCTGCCCCCTCCCGTTTCTCCCTGTGCCACAGGGGTCTGATTACCGATATTTGGGGGGTATCACCACTAGAGGGTGACCATCTTTGGGCCTCCACATAAGTACCTGGGCATCGTTGGCATTAGGTTTCACAAGGGCACTCGGTGGTATTGGCTCATTCTTGCTCAGGACCTGGGGCTGCTCCTGAGCAGAGGGTTCCCTCAGCTTGGCACGGTGCCCTAGAGGATTGCCGGGGGTCACGTCGATGCCCAGTTTCATCCGCCACTTGATCGTATGCAGGATCACCATCTCGTTGGTCGTAGTGTTGGTGGCCACAAGCCACGTGGTGAAGCTCTGATCCCGGTGGATGCCGGTCAGGTGGGGCACGTTGCTATCACTCACTGGGACAGCCCAGGTGACGCTGGGGTAGAAGTTGTCATTCATGCTGATGCTGAACTTAGCTTCCTTCTTGGTGGGCCCCACGATGGTGCACGTCTCGGTGGTGTTCCCGTACCAGGGGTAATTGACACCGTCCGAGTCACTGATGGCTTGGATCTTGCCTTCAAGGAGATCTGGAAGCTCCCAGCTTGACCTGGGTAGACAGTGAGAGAAGAGGGCCAGGTTAAGGAGGATTGGCATGAAGAAGACCAAAGAGGACAGCCTGGAATGAAAAACAAGCTACACGTTTGTTGTCCCTCTCCCACAAATATTGCCCACAATTTGCACTGTAAGACATGCGGTCTTTGAGCCTGGAGATGATCAATAGCCATCTTGACTCACTGCCTGATATCTGGCACCATTCTAAGCATACAGATTATTTAGTTTTGCCTTATTGGATGGAGCAAAATCTCCAATTGTGGTTTGTTCCACAAACTACAGTTAAACCAACCACAGCCTGCATTGTTGCCTGAAACTGGATCCTGATCTTCTCAACCTCTCACTACCATCCAATGGGCGGCCATCGCCTTGCAAAGAAGCGGTTCTCCGTTCGTCATCGATGAGCTGACTGCATCCTTGGATTCACACTCAAAATAGCTTCCCAGATGACTAAACAGCAGACTTTCATTTATTTTAAAGGACAAGGATTTATAAAAGCTTTACCGCACACAGGCCTGTAGTTCCAAGCAACGTTCAAGACTGGATTGAAAAAGTAATGCCCTGGAATGCTCCCAGTCTGGACCTTCATCTTATATTTAATTTTTCAAAGGGTGAACGTATGGTTTTAAGTCTCAAGAAGGCCATTAGTCTACAGGGATCTTTAAGGCCAAACAAACCCAGATGAACCTAACCACGTTTATCAAGTTGTGCAGATATCTTTGCTTAGTTCTGTCCTGGGTTGGCCAAGGGTTTTGTGTGACCCCAGCTATGAAGATGGAGAGTGGGTCTGGGGAAACAGACAGAGAGATCCCACAGGAGTCCAAGCTACATTCAAAAAGAGTGAAATGATTTTTGCAAGCAACAAATAGCACAGTTTGATTGCCGGCGTGATGCAAAGCTCTGGCAATTACCCACTAGGAGTTATAAAGCTATTTGATTGCCCCCTAATTAATTAATGGTAATAGGCCTGATGTTCTTCACGCAGTGGAATTCCACTGGTTTCAAGTGTCCTTGTGCCAGCTGTACCCAACCTGGCTGGGTACAATGCTTGAAATCCAGCAAGTTAAAACTGGGATGGGCACAATGTTTTGCAAGTTTGCATACGATGCAAATCCAGCCCAATGGCATGAATGCATCAAAGGGGTTTAGCATGTGTGAATGCAGCCGCAGTGATGGTGTAATGGGATGGGGGAAAGACCTTGGGAGACGGGGCCAAGAGACGCTGCCTGGGGAATGGTCAGATAAGAGACAGCCTAGCCCTCAGCTGGGTAGTGGGAGGGGCAAGAGGCTCAGAAAGGACCCTCCCTAGTTTCTTGGGCTGTAAAGGAGATGGTGAGGGGGAATTGTACTTTCAGACTTACAAGATTCTGTCAATGCAGCTTTACAATAAAGTAGAATTAGTTCATCTGGTCATGATTCCTATCTGGTCTACCTAATAAGAATGACAGATGGGGTTTACTCTACATTTATTTATACGTTCCCCCCGTTCGATGACCAGGCTGTTTCATCAGTTGGGGGATCAGGACGGGGGGGGGGCGGTGTAAAGGGAGCACACCCTCTGTAGTAAAAAAAAGCGG